TCTGGGCTGTTCCCTTTCTCCCACCCATCCTGGGAGGCTCCGATTCAAGGCCCAGTACTGCCCGGGAAGCAGCCAGTCCACCGGCAGCAGAGTGTGGGCTTGGTGGGGCTGCAGGCCCAGCCCTGTTGCCCTAGTGAGCACTGAGCTCTGCCCTGAGCCTTCCTCAGTGACTCCAGGAGCTCAGCGATTTCTGCCAGGGTGTGACCACCTTGAGCCAGGGGCGTCACCTCACGGATGCAGAGTGAAGGGCCACGGAGGGCGTCGCAGTTGCACTGAAGTGTGATTAAAGTAACAACAGAATTCTTGAATATGAGCCGGGGATGTTAAATATCGGTTAATCGAATAGTCGAGTAACCTCAGGAATTCCTGTCGGTTAGTCGACTGTTCTATAGCCCCCGGAGGTGGGGCTGGCAGCCAGTGTCAGAGGCAGCAGTGTGGGGTGCCAGGCAGGAGCTGGTCCATGAGGGGAGCCAGTTTTAAAACCAGCTCCCCTCATGGGCTGGCTGCCTGGCGTTCTCTGCTGCTTCCTGTGATGACGGGGCCGCAGTGCGGGGGTGGCAGCAGCCTCCATCTAAGGCGGGTCTGAGCTCTTGGACCTGGCGTGAGCTGGAAATGAGCCAGGTTGACATCTTGCCCGGCTCGTAATACCCTTTAAATTCAGAGCTGCAGCGGGGGTAGATGCCAGACCTGTCGCAAGTGAGGACTGAACCAGGCTGCTAGCCAGCTAAAAAAATTTACTGGTAGGGAGGGAGGGGGAGGGAACAGGTATAGTCTACTCTATGGCATTAACCTATCAGCTTTTGCTTATTGGTTAATTAAGCAAAATTGGTTAATTAACTACACTATGACATCCCTGAAGAACAACTGATCAGCAGTGTTCCTTGTGCACTTGTGCAAACCGGGGATTCAAATGCTGCCCAGCTGATGAACACAGCTAGGTTTTTTGTTTCCACTTGTAGTGCACATTCACATATGCCTTGGTGCACATAACAAAATTTGTTCCATGCATGGATGGAAAAACCTGCATGTGGGTGGAAAAGATTAGCGGGACGGTGGCTGACCATGGATTCTGGTACTCGGTTACATGCCAACTGGAAATATCAAAAGTCTCTTTTCCATTTACTGACTCCTTGCTGCGCTTGCTCCCAAGTTCCCCCCTTCAGCCTCCCCACAGCCACTTTGCTCCCTTCATCCCCCCCACTCAGACTGTGTCTCCTTGTCCCAGCTCTGCCCCCACAGCCCCAGAATTCTCCCCCCCGATTCCTGCGT